TTTAAATTAATTTGTTTTGTTTTTATTTACACAGAATACACTTTTAAATATAATTCTCATATATATAATAGTATTTTCAATTTTGACAATTCAATTATGAAGTTGTTGCTGTTGTTGTTTGTGGCTATTAACAATATATCAATTTAATTTTTTTTTAACAAATTACATTACAGGCTTATATGACAGGTTGTTGTTTTTGTTTTCTTTTTTCTTTTAATTTTTATTTTGTAGTTATTTATATAATTATATTAGGCAATAAATAAATATTATTATTATGTACTTACAAAAACGTACATAGATAAGTAGTTACATACATAAATACATACATAATGAGATAGTAAAGTTGGGGCAAATATTTTTTTGTTCATCTTATTTATATTTATACGTTAAATTTTTTTATACAAAATAAAAATGAAATTAATTTAATTTTTTGTATAGCTATAACATGTTTACATTTTACAATACTTGTTTATCGATAAAAGTGTTTATTTATAATACATCATTAATACATATATACATGTGCATGTATATATGTGTAATTTGGAAAAAAATGAATACATTTACAACAGTTCGTTTTTTGGTTTTTCTAAACGACTTTTGTGTTTGAAATATGAAGAAGGTTCAGAGGAGGATTTAATACATTTTTATGTTTCAAAAGCAGGGCAGAATTTATAAGATTTTAGAAGATCATCATATGAATTTAATTATGTTTTAAAAATTTGGCGAAACAACCGAGTTCATATCATCTTTAAATATGTGCCAGAAATGTCAACAACAATGTTTTTTTTTTTTTGTTTTCATACCAATATGTTATGTGTAAAAAAATTAATTAATCTGCGGAATAATTTAACAACAGTTGAAATTTTTCATAATGACACCGTTTTCAACGACTATGGCGATGGCTCTCAAAGGTTTCGGAAAAAATCTTCCGCATATTTAACATCGCTTACAACGATAATCCTTGCGGGCGATTTCGAATGTAATTTTTTTTTTATCCCACAATTCTTGAATATCCATTTAACATGATAACTCCTCACTGGAACATCGGAATCCGAAAATTTCAACGGTGTTAGAAAGAGTACATGTCTGGCTCTCGTATGAACTAGGATAATTGACCTCGCTCTAAAATTAACAAAATGGCGGAACTTTGAAAAAATATTTTTGGAAAATCGCCGATTTTTTACTAAAAACCGATTGGCTTTATCCTAGTTCATACGATAGCTATACACTCACAGAGAAACGTGTAAAAATTTGAAATCGATTGGGTTATTAGTTTTTGAGTTATGGTGCCCGCCATTCGCAAAAAAATGTTTAGAGAAAAACGCGTTTAAAGTTTGAGAAGCCCTTCAGCCGTCACTTGATGCTGACACAATAAATCAGCTATATCTTCAAGAGTTCTTGAGATTTTAACTTGAAATTTTGCAGGGACATTCTTGAATTAGTGTAGATTGGAATTAAGTCAACAAAAATTTTGACCCCGAGAATGGGGGGTCCCCTTAACAAATGTCCCAACTTAATTTCATAACTGTGTTAATATAATTCGCTCTTTATGTTGGCTGAAATCCTTAAGTGATAAAATTGGGAACTACACTTTTTCGTATATTTTCCAATTTTAGAAATTTGAACGCCGTGGAAGTTATATTTAATATATTTTCTGACAGTCAAATCAAGTCAAAATTTAATCGAAAATATAATGGGAAATTCGAATAACATTTTTGTATGAGATATGCTTTTTATATTTCAATATACTATGGATATTTAAACAAGTACAACTGTTTTTCCCATATAATCTCGTGCATTGGAAGCCACTAGAAAATTGTGTATATTTTGCACTTATTCGTGTCTCAAACGTATTCAACAGATAATTTTTTAAAGAGTAATTTATTAACAATTTCTTAACAAATCCATAAAGGTCGATTTTTTTCTCATAGCCCCCAAATAAAGGTTGTGGGAAATTGTGATTCCTTTAGTTTCTTTGGGCCAAAAACATTACTTCTACTGGTTTTCGATATATCCCCAGTCCGCAAATATATAATTCGAACATAATGAAATTTCATGCCTGTTTTGTATGATGAACAGTCATAAGCCAATTGGCATTTTGTTAAATGATGAAATAAATTTAATTTATGACGTATATTCTCACTCTGCGAAAATATGGTCTGAAGTAGTTCTAGTGAAATATGAGTTCCAGAAAGATGCTGGTGACTTTGAAATTATATTGATATATGTATGCGGTCCTATTTGAACCAGGCATATTATGCATATTCCAAAATTGCTTTGATTCTATCAAACGAGGAAGACTGGGAGAGTCATCAACATATTTTTCCTATTTCTCTACACTAATATGTGTTAACTTATTTTCCATTATTTCCAAAAAAATAAAAGATTTTTGCGATTAAATAAAGCAATTAACTTTTAAATTTGTACGTATCATTTTAGATAATTTTTTATGGTTTCCGAATAGCACCATTCAAAGGCCGAGAGATCTCGAACACGAGGCCATACATTGGCAATGAATCTAATCTTTTATAGCGGTACCTTAAAAATACAAAACTTTAGCTTTGTGACGCGTTTTTCTTCTTTAGAAATAATTTACCCATCCCAAACATGTCAATTTTTTTTTTAGTTTCAAAAAATTTTATTTTGCTTTTTTATTTGTTTTTTGAACCAAATTTTTATTTTATTTGTACTAATTAAAGAATGTCCCAATAAAATTTCAAGTGAAAATCTCAACAACTTTTGAAGATATATCCAATTTATTGTATCAGCATCAATCGACGATTGAAGTGCTTCTAAAACTTAAAACGCTTTTTTCGAAACACGCTTTTTTCGAATGGCGGCCATCGCAACTCAAAAACTAATAATTCGAACACATCACTCTGTGAGTGTATAGCTTTCGTATGAACTAGGATAAATCCAATCCGTGAATATCTTTCTTATTTTTAAACTTAGTTTGTGGTCCCTTAATTAACATTGTTTATAAACTCCTTATTAATATCTAAGTAAATCGGAAATCTGCTAAATTCATATTGAATCCGTTTGTTTTGGAAGGAACTAAATATCTACCAGTCCTTCTACTAGCAAACAAATTTTTTCATCTTCGATAAAAACAAATTCGAAATTTCGAAATTTTTTTTATGAAATAAATAATTATCACATGTAAGGGTTTCGGGGACGCTGATTAAGAAAATTCAATGTGATGGGTCGAAAATGGACAATTTTTTTGTAAAAGTTGAACTTAACAAATTATTTTTGAACACGTTTTGCAGAGCTATGGTCAGTGATTACAAACGTCAAATCAGATTTTGAAAAATCAAATAAAATGATTACGAAATGGCGGATTAAACATAAGAAAAAATTCAGTATTTCATTTCTTAGCAGTATATAATATTAAAATCAAATAAATTAAATTTGACTATTTTTGTATTATGGGGAATAACTCCTAAGTTTATGAACGGTCGCAAAATTATCGACAGAGAACATATCAAGGCGTCGATTGGTGCATAACCAATAATCTCTGACACTTTTTGGCACTAGGTCTTTAAACTCTGTTTTTTTTTTCAAAAAAACATATTTTTGAAATTTATCTGTTTAATTGATTATGTAAAATTTTGCAACTTGAAAAATTCTCTCCATTTCATGATAACTCCTCACTGGAACATTGAAATCCAAAAATTCCGGACCTTTGATTTTTTTTTTTTGGAAAAACGCCTATTTTTGACCACAAACTATTTGATACGATAGCTATACACTTACAGAGAATCGTGTCGAAATTTGGAACCGATTGGATTATAAGTTTTTGAGTTATCGTCCCCGCCATTTGAAGAAACACCGTTTCGAGAAAAACGCGTTTAAAGTTTAAGAACCACTTCTCCCGTCACCTGATGCTGACTTCAAATTTTATAGGAACATTCTTGAATCAGTGTAGATTCGAATCAAATCGAAAAACAAAATTCAATTTTTTTAAAACTGAGAATGGGTGGGTTCCTTTAAATTAAAAAAAAAAACCTGAGTCAAAAGTGGTAATAACGTGATCAACAAAAAAATTTTTAAGCTTGAGATCGACAAATTCTATTATGAAATATAATATTTCTCAGAAAACTACAATAATTGGTCTTAATGGCATATCCAACCATATAAATTAAAATCGTATCGTAATTTACATGTAATACTGACCAGTGTAATCACATGGGAAAATAGTATATCCATAATCGAAAAGGTTCGTTTATTTGAACCATTTTATTCAATGTAAAACCTTTTGCATCTACGTTCGCAAAATGTTAAACAAGCTTGACGATCCCTTTATGTATTATATGAATTCTTATTTACTGTCGAAATCGCCTTTCGAAATCGAAAAATAGCTCACAACTACCGTAGTGGTTATTAGCAATGTAAAACTTTTTGCGGGACTATTGAATACCGTCCTTATCACTGATATGTCATTATAAAATATTTCGAACAGTCGAAACCGCTTAAAATGACGGTCAAGGTACCGGCGATATTGGTCGCTATAAGCTAAATTTCGTTATAAAGGATATAACGTAAAGGACATAACTTTTACTCGGAACTTTGGGAAACCGTCGTTCAAATCGATATGCCGTTATAAACGCTTTTACAACTACTTATAGTCTTAGCCAATTTATATGGATTTATATTCGAGTTGGACCGAAAATGTATAAAGACCACATGCTTTAACTACTGTTTTGTATGTTATGTTTTTAAGTATTCATTTTTAATAAACCTTCAACACAAAACCTTCCTCATATTTCTCTCACACAAAACGTACACCTCCGTTTGGTCCTTCGAACCAAAATTCCACATATGTGAAAAACGCGAAACCATAAACCACTCTAATGCCATCTTGCCACATTACGACTCAATATTTACACAGAAACCCTTGTTGTTGTTCTTATTGTTGTTGTAAAATACAACTTAATAGTTAAATTAGTTACAAACAGCCTATTCCTCCGATAACTAGGAGGCAAACAACTTACAAAAACTCAGCTATTTCGTGAAACGACAGTTACCGGCTTTAAAATTGGACCGGGTGGTGAGGCTGCAGCTCCGACCGTCGGTGATATTGAATGGGATGGTGAGGAGGGCGGTTGTCCTAAATGCGTTAGAACTTGCAACGGCTGATGCAGAGGTCCTCCAGCCGCTGGATGGCCACCCGGCGGACTAGCTAGATGATGTAGTGATGATAATTGTTGTTGCTGCTGCTGTTGTTGTTGTTGCTGTTGATGTCGTTGATGGGCAGCAATGGCCGCCGCCGCTGCATGTTGTTGCAACAGTTGTTGATATTGTAAACGTTGATAGAGATCAGAGGCGGGTAGGGAGGCAGCAGCCGCCGCTGCAGCGGCTGCAGGATGCGCTTGCGGAGGCATGGCGGCGGATAGTAGACGTTCCATGTTGCTATAATTGGCCGCCGCCGCCATTGCGGGACTTACCCGGGCCGCAGCAAAGGGTGAGGGTGGTAAGGCGGGATTCTTTGGCACAAAAGGATTATATCTACCGTACATACTGGCCAGCAGGCCGGGATTGGGTGCTCCGGTGGCCGCAGCCTGGGGAGGATAAAGGAACTGATTAAATTGTGGATAACCCAAGCCGGTAAACATGGGACCAATTAAGGAACGTTTAAAGGCAGCCAGGCGGGAACGCGAAGCGGCAGTGGTACGTCTACGTAATTTCCCCGTGGAACCACCAATGAAAACATCATCCGCCGATGGATCTAACATCCAATAGTTGCCCTTACCGGGATCATCATAATGGCGAGGAACTTTGACGAAGCATTTGTTCAGGCTCAGATTGTGTCGTATGGAGTTTTGCCAACCCTGTTTATTGTCCCGATAATAGGGGAAATTGGTCATGATATATTCATAGATGCCATTGAGAGTCAAGCGCTTTTCGGGGCTTTGTCGTATGGCCATCATAATGAGAGCATTGTAACTGTACGGAGGTTTTTCATTGCCTTTCTTGTCGGTGGCGGGCTTGTCGCCACCCTCACCACCTTCTTTGCTTTCGGTTTCGGTGGCATCACCCTCTGTGCCATCGGCATCAACATCACCGTCTAAATCGAGATCCTCTGTTTCTCCATCTGGGTCAAGACCTTCTTCGAGATCACTTTCCTCGTCTTGGTGATGGTGGGAGTTATGATGATGATTTCGATGTGGGTTACCGTGATGATGACGTCCACCTTCTTCATTGCTATTGAGGCTAAGTTCACTACCGTCGGTGGGTGGTGGCGGTGACATGCTGGTAACATCTAAATCCGAATCGGCATCTGGCCCCTCAACATCATCACAAAGATTGGTATAGGGCTGCCGTAAATGATGATCACCACTTAACGATCTGTTGTTGTTATTGTGATGGCTACTGTTGTTGCTGTCCTCCACCGTTTCGGGTAGAATGGAATTTATGGAAAAGCTTGACTTGAGATGAGGTGTCCTGGCCATTTTATAGAATTGTTGCAACTGATTGTGGGTATCAATCAAGGCCTGCTGATGCAACTGTTGCAGGTTGGGATGGAGATGATGTTGCTGCTGTTGTTGTTGCTGTGGCGACGGTGGCAAGTTATTCGTTGGCCCAGACTGTTGATGATGGCTAAGATGTGTCTGACCGGGATTTTGATGTGGAGAATGATGTTGGTGGTGCGGATGATGCTGTTGATGATGTGGTTCTGAAACTCTTTCAACAACACTACATGGATCATCGATTTTAACCATGTTTTGGTTTTTGTTGTTGTTACACAAACACACACGAGATCAATGCACACACACACGGACACACTCAAATCCGCTAACACAATTGATGTAAAAGCTTTTTTAGAGCGGATTTGGTTGGATTTTAATTACTAAATATTGCTTTTTTATTTTTCTTCTTTAGGGCTTTGCCACTTCATTAGTGTTGGCTATATATGTTTCGTTATAGATTGATTGATGGATTGATCAATTATCACTTAAATTAATTTAATTTTTATTTCATTTGTAATCTCAATTAAAACACACATTTATGAGTAATTTTTTTCATTCGTTTTTTTCGTATCGTTAAAAGCAAAATTAGCGTTTCTTCTTTTTTTCACTGATGCATCAACAAAAAAAGTGACTCGTTTTACGCAATCCCCTTTGTGTTGTGTTGCGGTGAATTGCGGCGGTGTCGTTTCAACGTCAACAACGTCCGTTTACGTGCAATGATTTTTGTAGACTAACACTTCACACATTCATTGATCGGTGTGGTGGTGACTTTTACTGGCTGCCAAGCTGGCTGGCTGGCATTGATTCATGTGCACACAGGCACACACACACACACTCAGCCGATAAACCAACAAAGCAAAGGGAGTGTTTTTTTTTCATCATACAAAGGCTTTTCTGTGGAGAGTTTTGTTGTGTGCACACAAAAAACTACAAACCAACCAACTAAACTAGCTATCTCATTCATATGCTAAGACAAACTCTCCCTATCTCTTTTGGGGTGAGAGTCATTCTCTCGACCAATCACAACAGTGGAACATAAGTTCCACACAGTCTTGTTGTTGTTTATGTGCAGACAATCAATTAAGCATAACGGTTACTCATTGTTCTTATTGGCCACACATAACAGAGAGATATACAAACAACAACTACGTTCTCTCTCGGTCTTACTCTCCCATTCTATAACAACAAGGGTGTGAGTAACATTATTCTTGTTGTTTTATCCATACAACATATAATGACTTCCATATTGCTTTGTGAGAGTGAGAGCAGGAGAGTGAGTGAGTAGGCAAAGTAGTGGTATATGTCTTGTTGTTGTTGTTGTTTTTACTTCTTATCTTTGGTTTTGTTTGTTTTTGCTCCATTTGGTTGTTGCTTTAACTGGTTTGTATTAAACAATGTAGTTATTGTTGGTATTATTATTACTGTTGTGTATACGTAGTAGTTGTTGTTGTTGTTTGTGGGTACTACTGCTGCTGCATTACTTAAGTTACCGGTGTTGAACTGATGTTTGTTAGTGTTTTTATTGTTGTTGTTTTTTATTTGAAACGTGTTATTTGCTCACTTAATTTTGCAGATGTTTTTCGTTTTGCTATACGTTTTTTGTTTTTGTATAAATGGACTCTCCTCCGGTGATGAATGTTTAGATGAATGGGTGGTAAAATAAGTTTATTAAGGCGTTTGTAACACCTCGCAAGCGTGAATTTATTAAAAAAAAAATAATTTTTATATTCATAAAATATTTCATGAAAAAATTTCAAATGCTTAAGAGTCTGTATTTGTTAAAATTATTTTAGAAAAATTTTCACAAGAGTGGATATTTTAACAAATATTTTGTATTTAAATAAATTTGTGGATTAAAAATACTTTTTCAGGAGATTTTCACAATTTTGGATTATTGAAAAAATGTATTAAAATGTCAACCGACGTGGGGTTTTAAAAATATTTTTGTAAGGACTATTAAAAAGTTTTAACTTTTTAAATTTTTTATATTATTTTCAACAATCGTGCATTTTTAGAAGTGTTTCAAAGACTATACAATTATTTTTGGAGAATTTTTCAAAGGCGCAGATTCTTTGCAAATTATGCTTTTGACGGGGATATGAAAAATATATAAAAAATCGAAAATTTTTAAATACATTTTTTCAATATTTTGAAAAACATTAAAAATATTTCTTTGAAAAACAAAAAAAATAATTCCATCAAATAATTTTGAAATTTTGAAAGGCGTAGATTTTTTTTAAATATTATTGGAGAAATTTTCAAAAGGTATATTTTGTAAACATTTTTTATGAAAAACTTTTAAAATCGTAGATTTTAAAAACATATTTTGGAGAATTTTTAAAATTTCAACAGGCGTTGATTTTCAAAAATATTTTTAGAGGAATTTTCAATGGCTTGCGTTGTTAAAAATATGTTTTTAAAGAATTTTCAAAAGCGTGGATTTTAAAAAATATTTTTTACCGAATTTTCACGCACCAAAGTCCCCATATATCTTTCGATTTGCACGTAATTTTGCACAACGTACTTAATTAAGCCTTGAATTATGTGTGCTAAGTTTCGTGAAAATCGGTTCAGATTTAGATATAGCTCCTATATATATTTTCGTCCGATTTAAGGTAAATGGTGCACCAAAGTCCCTAAATATCTTTCGATTTTCACGAAATTTGGCACAGCGTACTGAATTAAGACTAAAATGATGTGAGCTAAGTTTCGTGAAAATCGCTTCAGATTTACATATAGCTCCCAAATATATTTTCGTCCGATTTTATGGAAATGATGCACCAAAGTCCCTAAATATCTTTTAATTTGCACGAAATTTGGTACAGCGTACTGAATTGAGTCAGGAATGATGAATGGTAAGTTTCGGGAAAATCGGTTTAGATTTCGATATAGCTCCCATATATACTTTCCTCCGATTTTAAGTAAATCGTGCCTATATATCCTTCGATTTGCATGAAATTTAGCATAGCGTACTGAATTGAGTCTAGAATGCTGTGTGGTACGTTTCGGGAAAATCGATTCAGATTGAGACTTGAATGACATTATTGCGATTTGTTGAAATTGGTGCAGATGTAGCTATCTTCCATATGTATTTTGAACGGGTGTCTGATCGAGATTAAATTTTTAACAGTGCGACGTACCGAATTGAGTGTATCAAGGCATGAGTATATTCCTTCGAGGGAACATTGACATGCAATTGTAAGGTTACATATGTGCAATATACCCAATGTGGTGAAGGGTATCATATAGTCGGCCCAAGCCGTCTTTAGTACTTTCCTTACTGGTTTTCTAATGAGTTTTAAAAGGCATGGAATTTTTAAAAATATTTTTCTAGGAAGTTTTCAAGGGCGTAGATTTTTTTAAAAATATTTTTTGAGAAATTTTTAAAGGCGTAGATTTTTTTACAATTGTTTTTGAGACATTTTCAAAGGCATAGATTTTTTAAAAGTACTTTTTGAGGCATTTTCAAAGGCATAGATTTTTTAAAAGTATTTTTTCAAAGCGGTGTATTTTTTTAAAAATTTTTATTGACACATTTTCAAAGGCGATATTTTTAAAAAAATTTTTAGACTTTTATTAGGGTCAATCGAATTTTTTTGATGAATTTCACAAACATTGCTGTAAGGTATATTGGATTCGTCGTACCCAACCATATTTCATATTTTTCTGCACATTCTCCCTCATCCGCCGCCAAATACACGTCACATCTTTGTGACAACCCAACACCCCATAGCAAAAAAAAATTGTTTATTGTGGCTTTCCTACTGCCGTTCTGATATAATACATTTACGTTTGCCTCTCTGTCTACCAGTCATCCAAGCAGCCAGTCAGCCAGCCTCTCAGCCAAGTTGTTGATATTTTCTGTACTTTTTTTTGGTTGGTTGGCCATGATGTTGTACAACAACGAAACACTGGATTTATTTTCAGGCGCACAGAGAGTGTGTAGTAGCGCAAAAAAAGTGTAAATGTTTTTGTTTGTTGCTCCATAATTTGTAGCATAGTTTGCAAACTGATGTAGCTCGGTTTTCATTTTGCTACCACGGACGGATGGATGGATGATGATGGGAAATTTAAGAATACATTTACAGGAAAAAATACATATGTATGTATGGTTGGTTGGGTGATGTTGTTGGTTGGTAGGTTTGTGGTGGTGGCGGTGTTGTTGTCGTCGTCCGTTGTACATTAAAGTGTGGTGTTAGTTATCACTGTACTTTTGGTTTTATTTTTCTGGGTGGGGGTTACCTTACCTTCTTTCTCTCTTCAATGTTAATGGCGGCTAACGTTTGATTTGCCTTTGTGGACATGTGTGTTTTTCGTCAGCCTCATTGATGTTGTTGTTCGTGTTAAATGCATGTCAATTTAATTAATTAATTACTTTACGCTGTATATTTTTAAATTTTTATTTCGTTTTCGAAAATTTGTTATCTCTATATTTTTGTTATTGATTTATTTATTTATTGGATATTGATTAATGTGTTTGATTAGTTGCCGCTCGATGCTTATCAATTTTGAATTATGAGTTTGTTTTATCTGTTAATTTAAATGTTTAAATATTGTGGATATCAATCTTAATTTTATTTCATTTTGATGTTATTATCTTAAATGGCTTTCATTTGTATGAAAAGGTTTCTTTGAAATAAACTATGAATAATTTTCGATATTTTGGCAAATGTATTTCAACAAAGTTGGCAATAAAAGGCTAAGCTACATATGTTTTTATTATGGATTGTTTTTTAAATAATTTTAGAGGCCAATCTTAAAATATTTTTGTAAGACATGACTTTTGTAGATATTTAAAAAAAATTAATTTAAAAAATTTTATTTAAATTTCGATAAGTGTGAATTTCTCAAGAATATATTTTTTTAAATTTGGGATTTTTTTTAAATATTTTTTAGGATTTTTATAGGCGTGAATTAAAAAAAATTTTTTTGAAGAATTTTGAATTTGTATAGGCATACATTTTTTTAAATGTTTTTTAATGACTGTAGTAGGCGTGGATTTTTTACAACTATTTTTTGAAATATTTTAATAGACGTAGATTTAAAAAAAAATATTT